TTTAGGGGTTTAGGGTTTAAGGGCTCTCATCATTGTAACAAGGATTTGGGATCCATCATAGTCGATGGCGCTAACCTCCTCGGCCAAAGGCTCTTGCGAGAGTTGGGCTCAAGGAGTGTGGCTCCTTTAAAGCCTGCTCGGGGGGGTTCTATAAGGTTTCGTTGCAAGGGGTTGTTATGAGGGCTTAGGTTAGGGTTTGGGGTTTAGGGCTTGGGGCTAGTATAGGGGCCGTGAATGTTAGAACAAGGTTTTGGGATGCGTAATAATAGTACACTAATGTACAGTATTACATTTTCAGGAATAGTATGGGTCAGTATCTAATCCCCTTTTTTGAGCCTTGAGCCCTAGGGGTTTAGGGTTTAGGGAATGTCTGGGTATGTTCGTAGAATGGGGGTTTTGAGGTACACCGCACACCATATTGATCTGCAGCCCCACGGAGTAGGGTTTGGGGTTTAGGGCTGAACCCAAGCAGTTGGAGCATGAGAGCTGTCGCACCAGCAGTGTTCTGTAAGTCCAAGGTTCCACTCGCATGGTTTAGAGTTTAGGGTTTAGGGTGCCGGCAAACCTCAGACCTGCACATCGGCAGGAATCGCAGCAATTGCATGCATGAGATCGGCATCCCGTGCGCCTGTCTTAGCATTTGCTTCCCTAAACCCGAAAACCCCAAATCTTAAACCCTGTCACCCTGTCAGCCTAAACCCTATCACCCTAAACCCTTAACCTGGGTCTCAGCAGAGCACCCTTCGTCGCTTGCCTCGTGAGGGGAGGCGGCGGCAGCACGCTTGCGGGCATTCCCATCCGGCAGAACATCTCCCACGGTTTTGGGTTTTAGGGTTCAGGGGTTTAGGGGTGTAGGGTTTAAGGGTTTAGGTTCTAGGGTTTAGGCCACTTGTCCCAAGCGCTGATCAGCAGCAGCTTTGAATGTGACCGGATGCGCAGCCGCCTCTGCGCAGCAGTGTGCAGAGGTTGCTACAGGGCTCCTGCGTACAAAGGCCAACATTTCAAACGTGTCTCTTCAGATCTAGAAATGAGTGATCTCTGCATTGTTTGAGGGTCTACCCTAAACCTAAACCCTACTTTAGGGGCCTCAATAATTAGAATAGGATGTTGGGGTTTATTATACTATAATTATAATAAGGAACCCCCAAAGGTATCTATTTAGGCCCCTGTATTACATCCTAGTGTAGCAGAGCAGAAGGGTCTGATTGTATGTCTCCTCGACTTGAGGGCCCTAGATGCCAGACCCTCCGACGGCACTTAGGGTTTTACGACTCCGGAACGAACGGTTGGGGTTTAGGGCTTAGGGTTTAGGGTTCCCGGCCAAAACCAAACTTCTAAAACCTTGCCATGCCTTCAAGCCCTCAACCTTATAAACCCGCAAGCCCTAAACCCTAAAACCCTAAACTGATCCAACCTCGAAAAACCCTAAACCCTAAACCGTAAAACTTCACCGAGCCACGCAGGAGCCCACCACAGAGTAGAGAAATGCCTCGGCTGGCGGCTCGTCTCTACTTGGAGGTTTCATGGGTAGTTATAAGTAGGGTTTATTGGGTTCCTCTAAGGGTTCCTTTAAAGGGTTCTATAGGGTTTAGGGTTTTGGGGTAGTTGTAAGTATGGTTATAAGTCCCCTAAGATGGGTTATAATTATAGGTACCCTACTTATCACCCCACTTATAACTACCCATGAACCTCCAAGTAGGCTCCATGTAGCCGCAAACACAAGAAGAGGCTCTTCACGACCAGAATAGGCTTTAGGGTTTAGGGTTCAAGGTTCAGGGTCTAGGGTTTAAGCTTTAGGGTTTAAGATTCAGGGCTTAGGGTTTAGGGGAAGTATAGGAGCCTAGATCAAGGCTCCCTTCAGCGTGTCTAGTAGGGTTTCCGAGCACAGATGGCTTCACAATTCGAATTGGGTCTTACAGGATTTCGTCGGTGGTTTTGCCGTGCAAACAAGATTGTAACATCGCGCTCGCTTCACCAGGTGTCGGAATGTTGCAGGAATTGTGTTAGAGCCGGTAAGGTCAAACGACAATAGGGGCGGTAATGACTAGAAGAGGATTCTGGGGTTAGGGTTCAGGGCTAGGGTGTATAATTATTCGAATACTAGGGAAGTACCACAAAGGCAAGGGGCTTTGGTTAGCAGGTTGTGACTACGCTCGTTCTAGATAGGATAACCCCAATTAGACTATTTATGAATTCCCGCTCCAACCCCCTTACGTGGTCTGCTGATCCTAAACCCGTTTTGCGATCGCCTCGGAACCGTATTTGAAACCCTTTAAAGCACGAAACCCTGTAAACCCTAAAACCCGTTTCACACCCTTAAACAAGTCTTTAGCTGCCCAAACTCTCTCTCCAAATCTTTCGGGCCTTGCGGCCGTGCCCACCAAGGAGGCCCAATGCATGGAGGCCGGCGTGATGGTGGCCAGCATGTAGGTGTACATCCCAAGGTTCACGAGCACCTTCCCGGTCTAGGGTTATGGTTTAGGGGTTTAGGGGTTTAGAGGTTTAGGGTTTTAGGGGTTTAGGGTTTAGGGTTTATATAAGCCTAAGGCCTAAATAGCTAGAATAGCGTTTCGGGGCTAGATGCGGATAGCAAAACATTCATATGAGCGACCATGAGAGATAGTCTTGCAAATCTCAGTTCTCAGACCTTGACATTCGGATTGAAGGTTTCTGGTTCAGGGCAAGGTCGAGGGCTGTAAGAAAAAAATCGAAAAGTGCACCTGCACCTTCCTTGCAGAAGAGCAGACTCCCGAAAAAGCAGACGAGTGCGAGTTTCTGTGCAGGTGCTGTATCCGGCTTTTGTGAGATGGTGCTCCGCGGCACTTCAGACGCTCATTCAGGGCTTTGGATGGTGTTATTGCTGTTCACAGAGGTGCATGCCTGCTCCCCTCGGAAGTGTTTCAATAAGGTTTCCTAAACCCTTTATAAACCCTAAACCCTAAACCCCAAACCCTAAACCCTTCTTTTGCCAGAATCAGAAAGGACCCTTCTGCCAGAAAGCCACACTTGCAGACAACGCCTGCAGAAGGGTTTCTGGGCTCTGGTTACGGAGCTTAATAGAAGCTACCAGAATAGGGATCTATAGTAAATACTAGGGCTTCCGCATTCCTTTTTATTGTAGCTTAAACTGAATTCCTGAGCAAGAACCCAGGTCTCCACTATAGTTTTTGGGTTTAGGAGTCTGCCGGGCTTGTTTCCGGAGTGAGCGAAACCGTATCCTTGCAAACCCAGGGCCACACTCCCCAAAGCCTGAAAGCTCCACGTTGAACACTTACGGGTTTAGGCTTTAGGGGTTTAGGGTTTAGGGCTTAGGCTTTAAGGGTTTCGGGTTTGTGTGTCTGGAACATCAAGTGCTACAGCCGAGCCTGAGCTGCCCTGATAGTGGAAGCTTAAGCGCTAAACCCTAAACCCTAAACCCTAATCTTTAAGAAGCTTAATGACGACCTTGTACTGTAAGATTGGGGCCCGTCTTAGAAACTCTCAACACTAGGGCTCCATGTTCCTGTAAACTATACACTTAGTATATACTTAGGCCGTGAAGTATCCATATAATAGGAAAATTTGTAAGGCTTTAGCCCTAAACCCTAACACTAAATCCTCAACCCTAAACCCTAAACCCTAAATCCTAAACCCTAAACCCTAAACCCCTACGTGGGGCCCTTCGTGTCCGGCAAGGACCCCAAGACATCATTGGCTGGGGCAACAGCTTTGGGGATCTCTGGGTTTCGGGCTCCAGGGTGCCGTAACTATAGGGGGTTTAGGGTTTAGGGTTTAGGGCCTGTATCGTAGAATGATACAGGAACCCCAAGGAATAATATTGGTAACTATGTAGGCTCCTTTCTTGCGTAGGTCGCTAAATTGGGGTCCCTGTTCGGGATCCTTTTATAAAGGGTGCCGTACTCTTTGGGGGACCTGAAGAAAGACCCTGATCTAGAGAAGTACCCATATTGCAATCACCCGAAACCCTAAACCCTAAGACCCCAAACCCTAAACCCTCAACCGCCTAAACTGTTAACCCCGAACCCCAAACCCGAAACCGCCTAAACCCCTAAACCAGCGCCTTGAGCACCCCGAAGGTCAGGGAGTAACTTGTGGAGATGAAGTTGGTGATGTCAACGTGGATGCGCTGATCCGGATTGTCGAACTTCTTGCCTTCCTCCGGGCCAGGGTCTTCGGGTTTAGGGCTTAGGGTTTGGGGTTTGGGGTTTAGGGTCTTAGGGTCTTGGGGTCTTAGGGTTTAGGGTTTGGGGTTTAGGGTTTAGGGTTTATATAGGGTTTGGGGTTTAGGGTCGTTGGGTTTAGGGCTTGGGGTCTAGAGTTTCAGGAGGTTAAGGGCCAGCGCTCTCAATTCACAAACTCTGCCTGTGCCTACCATTGCCGATCTTTCTTCTTTGGTAAAGTCTCCGTTAATTACTCTCTGGCACTCTATCGTAGATTAGAGTAGATTGCACCTAATTCCTAAACCCTAAACCCTGAACCCTAAACCCTAAACGCTAAACCCTAAACCTAAGAGGGTTTAGGGGTTTAGGGTTTAGGGGTTTCTATTCGTTTCTATAGGGTCTCCAGAAGGGTTCTACATGAGTAGCTCTCGATCTTCCAGAAGTCGAGTGTGTCAAACACTGAGGATGCCTGGGTCGGCACCTAGAACCAGGTGCTTTGGGATAATTTAGGGTTTAGGGTTTTTAGAGGTCGTTGGTCTAGCGCTCAGCAGTGCTGTATGATAAGCATGCTCGCAGGCGCGCGAATTCAACTAGGAACCGCTCTTGCCGATTCTAACCGGTTTCAAGAAACCCATTCCAAGAAGTTCAGAGCAAACCAGAAACTCCAGCAGTCCACAGCAAGTCCTAGCCAATCGCACAAACCCCCAAAGATCTTTGTGATGGACCGGCACTCCGAACCCTCAACATGTGGCTCATAAGACGTTTGAGGGACAGCTAGAGCCACAGAGTATTCCACGAAGATGCTTCGGAGAAACAACAACTGCTCTTCAGATTTGGTGCCGGAAGAGACTCGCACCCCAAACCCTCAAGACATTCTTAAACCCTAAACCCTAAACCCTGAACCCTAATTAGATCCCACACGGAGAAGGTTCTTATTCGCCTCGGCCCCGGCCGAAGCGGTGACAGGTTCCTATTCGGACTTCCTCTATTCTCCACCTCTTAATCCCCTCCCCAGTGACACCCTAAACCCTAAACCCTAAACCCCTAAACCCTAAACCCTAAACCCTAAGCCCTAAACCCTAAACCCTAAGCCCAAAGCCCTAAACCCCAAACCCTGAACCTAGCAGTTCGTTGGCCCTCTTTGTTTGCGGGCCGGGCCGAGAGGGGACGACGCGAAGCGTTTAAAATTACCCCAAGCCCCAAAGGCTCCAATTCAGGGTTTAGGGTTTAGGGTTTAGGGTTTAGGGTTGCAGGTTTAGGGGTTTGGGGGTTTAGGGTTTAGGGTTTAGGGTTTAGGGTTTTACATCCTGAAGCCTAGTTCATCCCTACACCCCTCATGTAGGAGCCTCAAAAATTACCTATACTACTCTCTGGGGTCCCTGATTATACATATAGTATAGAGGGACCCAGAGCCCTATTCTAATTATTTAGGCCCCTACGTTAAGTGCCGGAGAAGGTTCTTGCATCTTGAAGACGTAGGTGCTAGGAACCCAGATCGTCTCGAAGTAGCGGGTCAGGTGGTCCCGCCAGTGCCTTGAGCTGTTATTTTCAAGGCTTAGGGCTTCGGGGTTCATGGCTTCAGCTCTTTAGGCTTTAGGGTTTGGGGTTTAACTATCTTTAGAATAGGGTTTTGGGGTATATTATGCCTTAACTGAACCCCCCAAAACAGTATTGGTAATTCTTTAGGTCCCTCTATTGACAACCTCGACGACGATGACGACACCAACTCCGCGGACAGCCGGGACGACGAGAAGAATCCGGCATGGGCTTCGGCATTAGTGTGCACTTTAGGGCTTTTCGGTTTAGAGCTTGTAGGACAGAGACAAGGTTGGAGACCATAGGCTTGGTGTTTAGGCCTCAAGTGCGGGAACAAAAACAGTTTCCAAAGGAGCAGGGTTGATTATTGATGGTGCATCCAACTCTGCACATACTTCGCAGCGAGTTACAAAGCAAGCCGTAAACTCAAAACCGTAAGAAACCCTCCAAAACCCCAAACCCTAAACCCTAAACCCTAAACCCAAAACCCAAAACCCTCAACCCTAAAACCCTAAACCCTAAAACCTTAAACCCTTTAAACCCTAAACCCCGAAGTCCTGAACCGGCCTGTTGCTCCCAAGGTGCAGGAAAAGCATGTCCTCCACGTAGAACTCGTAGACGTAAGTAATCATTCGCGCCACATGCAGAATGAACCAATTGCGAATCCTTCGCTGGGTTTAGAGTTTAGGGTTTAGGGCTTCGGGTTTGGGGGTTTAGGGTTTAGGGTTTAGCCACATGTAATATAAACCAATTGCGAATCCTTCGTTGCAGCGCGGTCAACTTGGACATGTCGTTATGAACCTTTACTACAATATTTCGGCTAATAGTCTTAGTGTTTGTGTTGCACTTTTATCAGGGTTAGTGTTTGTATTAATTAACGGTAGTGCGTGCCGGCAGTCAACCTAAGTAGTCCTTGCCTTAGTCTTAGTGTCAGGCTGAATCGAAGTTCAAGTATTAGTCGTGGCATTAGTATTAGATCTGGTCAGGATTATTGCTGCTGTCGTTGATGACTATCATTACCAGTAACAGTCGTACCACTACCATTACTGCTGTTAATATTGCTATCGCTACTCACTGTGCCTATTGCTGTTGCAGTTAATGTTTGCTTAATGATAGTCTCATGTGCTATTGACCGGAGTTCTCATTTATTTGTAGTTACGAGTAGCAATATTAATACTATGTTGGCCACTGCTGTTTAATCAGTTGCTGTCAAGGGTTTTTGGGGTTTTCGGTTTATGGGTTTATGTAGCTTACGGTGGAAGCTAGAAAGTTGGAACAACCTGATGCCCCTAATGTAAAGTCGGCAAAGTGTAGGGAATCCCAGCACTAATCATGCTTAATTCATGTTCCAACTTTCTGGGGTTCACTGTAGGGTTCTAGAATCGACGGCTTGGCGGCTGCAGGACTTTACCCTAAACCCTAAACCCCGAACCCCTCAACTGTGTATTTAAGGCTTAGTGGGCTTCGCGTTACAGGGCTGAGGGTTGGGGTTTTTAGGGGTTCGAGGGCAGGCTGAAGGGGGCCCGAGGTTCGAGATCAGACTCTAGGATTTGAGGGTTTCGGGTTTCGGGGTTTAGGGGTTTAGGGGTTTAGGGTTTAGGGTTTAGGGTTTAGGGGTTTAGGGTTTAGGGGTTTTCGGGTTTAGGGTTCAGGATGGTACCCACAAGGCCACAGGCGAAGAATTGCAGAAGTATTCGGGCTACAGGGAGCCTCGGGTCGAACGTGCTTACCCAAACGAACAAAAGCGCATAAGCAAGTTGCAGGATACTACAAATGATGATATAAATCCTGCATTACCCATATGTAGGAATATAAAATAATTCCCACAGTTTAGGGTCCCTGAGGTAATGCAGGTTTCATATTACCCGTCAACCATAGACTCTGACAGACTTGCATAGACGTCTGAACCTTCAGAGCTGCGCTTGTGTTTCAATTTTCTGGAAGCCCTGCATGCTAACAATGCTAACCTCAAAGTCCCACCACATAAACCCACAGGGACAAGCCCTCTGAATTTGTGCTTGGAGACAGCTCGAAGAAGAGTGGCAAGCTCGGCTGCTGATAAAGGTTCCAATACCTTCGGCATCCGAGTCTCTGTAAATGGGCTCTGGGTGCTATCTTAAACCCCATGGGTTGCAACTACAGAAATGGACCTGGGTTGGGGGGGGTTTGACTGGCTGAAGCAGAGCTCTCAAAGAACAAGACAAGAAACCGCAGCTTGAGCGCTGACCCACTTTGCAGCTCAAGCTCTAAGCCCCCAAACCCTAAACCCTAAACCCTAAACCCTACACCCTACACCCTAAACCCTAAACCCCTAAACACTAAAGCCTATAATAAGCTTTGACCTAAAGCCCCCAACTCGACGTCAAAGCCCGACAGCCTTCACCCAAAGCCTGAAGGCAGACCCCTCGTTGAAAACAAACACCGCAGTTGTAAGGTCCTGACCAATAAGTGTAGGGTTTAGGGTTCTAGGGTTTAGGGTTTAGGATTTAGGGCTTAGGATTTAGGGTTTAGGGTTTAGGTTTTAAGAAGTTTTCTGCGAATGCAATGTATTACTGGAGAGGGGCCTCCTCATCAGGCGCCCGCAATAGTTTACTAGTTTAAGCATCGAAACAAACGTGCCTTGCACCCAAAGCCTTCAAACAAAAGATTCCGCGAAGTAGAAGGCTTTTAACTCGGAACCTCCTTCTGCAATCCTGTTGAACCATGAACCGTTTGGAAACCCAAGCCCTGCAGCTTCGTTCCCCTGAGGTTCCATCTGCCCAAATTTCGATTATGCTTTGGCTCCACAGCACCTAAATCGGGACTACCTTAAGGCCAAGCCCTAAACCCCAAACCCTAAACCCAAGTCTAGAGTACATGAACCCTCAGGTTCTTGGACCGCCACTCATGAGACAGGGACTTCCTACCTCCCCTGAGTCCTGCGGGCCTCCTGGATCGATTTTGGACTCATAGGCAAATAATAACAAACATATATATATATATATATATATTTTTTTTTTTTTTTTTGG